GAGGCGGCTGGCAGTGGGTGGGCTGGGCGGACTGGCAGACATGTGCATTAAATGTTCAACATGATTTTTCACTCATTAAATGTAAAAATGAATCGCGGAGGAAAACCGCGCAACGCACCGCAGGGTTGGCTTGTGTTTTTGGCATAATTTATGCGCATTTCTGACTTTGGGAAAGTGGGGGGGTTCGCCAAAATGAAGCGAAGTGTTAATTTTGAGAAATGTGCAAAAAAAAAAGCAAAAACAGAAAAAGGCAAAAAAAAAAAAACGCTGGGTGAGGCACCGGAGCGCAGCGGACGGTTTGCTGAAGCGTTATGCACGCGTTTTAACGCGTTTTAAGAGTCGGAACGACTCTGGCTGGCGCTTGGGATATTATTCCCATGATCCACTAACCGACAATGGGAATGAGCCACCAGAACGCAGAGTGCAGACCAAAGTGCAGACCAGAGGAATGTGACTCGACTGCCGATTTTAAGACCTAGCCGAGCCAATAATTCATATGCGCCGCAAAGTCTACAGCAATCAAAGTGGCAGACCCAATAGAGGCCTGGGACACCAAACCCTAGATACCCTTTCTGCACTCCTCAGTGAATGGCTGTTCGTTTGGCCCCTTAGAGTCTTAACACTCTCTGGAAGGGTACGGAGACCAAACTGCTTCTGAATGTCTTCGCTCCGCAGTGATGGGCCCGGGAGGATTGATTTCCCCCGAACAGCCCCTGCTTTCAGGTCACAGCCAGTCGCTGACTCGGTTGCTGACTCGTCGAAGCCCCAAACGACATAATTGCAGCCTGTCTGCGGTGGCTAATGCAAACAAACATGGGATTATGAGCAGGGAGCCTGAGAGCCAGAGCCCGCCGAAATTGATGATGAAGCGCGCTCCTGACCCGTCGTAACAAGTAGCTGGCGAAATGCTAAAAAATTGGGTCTCTACGTGTTGCCACAGCGACGCACAGAGTGCACAGCGATCATAGCGATTGCTCAGATCGTACGGATTGTACAGATCGTGCAGATAGCATTTCATTTGCCGCAGCAGCACAATTGGGCTGAACTTTAGATGAACCCGCGAAGCCTAATGCCATCGGAGACCCGCACAAATGCATTAAAACTAGTGCACTTCAATCATGTGCACTGCGTCTGGCGAATCGATTGGACACGCTCCAAAACCTGGGCATGGTTTGCCCGGAATTATCATTCCACCTTCGACGATTTGGCTCCCGTTTTCGGTACTTTCCGTCCTGGCATCAGCATCTTCATCAGGCTCAGATTTTTCATGGGAATTACATACGTGATAGATTGTTTTATACTGCAGTGCAGCAGATATAGTGCTGCTCCCCCAGATGCTGTGTTGATTGGTTTCCAGGCACTGGATTGTGATTGCCGTCCTCCGGCTTCGACTTCATTCATATGGGACGTGACTGTATTGAAATTGGCAGCAAGACATGCGAGCTCCGCATCCTACGAGGACGAATTGAACTCATTTCCATTCCTCATATTGAAGTACTCAGCTTGGAAGCTTTTCTAGCAGGGGATGGGGTCCAATCTGCATTTGAACTCTTGTCCTAAGAGGTTTCGCAATAGGATCAATGCACCAAATTTATATCCTCTCATTAGGAATCAGCCTTAACAAGCACGGAGACGCTGGCGCCCCCGGTGCGGACATGACCCCGACCACAGCCCCACAGGTGGTATCGGGGCACGATGTCCTCGCTCCTACTCAACAGGTAACACAGATATTGCAGCCCACATGTAGGCACTTTTGGCAAATTGCGGAACAAGCGAACTGCAAATAGCAAGATTACTCTGTCTCCGACTCCGGAATATGAAGCGGGTCAAGGGACAGGGCAGGAGCAATCCCATAGAGTCGTGATCAATGGCCACGATGCCCAGCACATGAGCAAGGAACATCCCAGGCCAGACACTGACCACCTACAAATATCGGATTGGACTTTCCCGGCAGAGGCTTCCTCCGCGCTTCCAGCTTGTTGCTGTTCAATTAAAGTTTACGCCAATAAATTGTGAGCAGTAAGTCGTTTAATCTAAATTAAGCACCAGATTCGAGGATTGTCGATGGCCGCCGGAACGGCAATCTCCATCAGCTGCCTCATGTGTCATAAGCGAGTTGTAAGGCGCCGACAAAGCTCTGATTTCTCTGGAAGTGGGAGCGTGACACGACACTTGTACTGGGAGCCTGTTGCACTTGGGTCTCTGGGGGGGGAGCCGAGTGTCACGCTGCCATCCGTAGGCTGGCAGCCAAAACCAACATGCGGATGAGATCTCAGTTCTGCGGCTTTGCTCAACTATGGGGTTCTGAGGCTCTGCATTTCCATAACCGAGACATCGGCTGGCGATTGCTTCCTAGTGCCGAAGATTTTGTCTACGAAGCGTAAGCAATTTTTATGCTCATGTTGCTCGTAATCACCGCAAGCCGCAGGTGGTAAAAGGCGTCGTGAATAACCTCAACCTCGACGTCCACGTCCACGTCTATGTCTGCGGCCTCGTCCACGTCCTCATCCATAGATGGCTTCAGACCGGGGCACCCGAGCACAGACACCCGACCAGATCTCCCCCAGAGCGGCGCTTCGCTGATTGAATTGCACTAATTGCGAATTAAAGCTCAGCATTTCGAAGGCGCAAGCAAATTGCATGGTTTCAAAATTGAATTGTAGAATCTATGCGGCATCCTGCACCACCCTGACGGTGCAGCTACTAATGAACGCCTCCTTCCTACTCCAGTTCGGGCTTGTTTGGCTTTTATTTCGCTTAATTAATTGGCAGCGCCAAATGTCTAGGGCTCCGACAAAAAAGACTCTGTGGTCGCAGCCAGCGGAAAAGGGGGAGCTGTCAACACCCAGTGGGGCCGAGTGGGACCCCTGCCTTGCTTCCTTTCGCCGGCAGAGCTCCAAGGGCAGCAGCAAGGAGCCGAAAGTCAAGTGTCCTCAGAGAATATGTGCCTGCATATTGCAATTCTTTCATTTTCGGCAGTTTCAGCCAAAAAGTAAAAAACTAATTTTTGTTCTTCCACCTTGTTTTCGTATTGCTGCACTCCCAGATCTGCACGGCTGAAGTGGTTACCTCTGCCAGTGGGAGGGCAGGACCTTTTACATGTTGCTCATGCAAAAGGGTTAATTATAACCCGCAATGATTGCTAACGAAGGATGCTTCAAGGGGCATCCTGGCATTAGAAGCCGAGGAAGGACAAAGGTGGAGGCATGGAGGTCGAAGGAAAAAAAAGCTAAAGAAAAGGGCGTACATTATTCATGTTATTAAGGGCCTTTTGTAAGCCCCCAAAAATACTCACTTTCGGGAAGTTTTTTAAAGGCTTTGGAAGCTTAAACCGAAAGATACATTAAATAGCTAATAAATTATGAATACTTTGCTGGGAGTTTTTCAAAAATATTTCGGTTATTTCGGTTAGCCTGGCGCCATCAAATCCCACATTCGACGTCTCGCATTACTGGCGTGCACTTTGGACTTTTCCAACAACGATTTTCCAATTTTTACATGCGAATTATCGACCAGCCCCCTGCCGGCCTCCTCCGTCCCTGGTCCCTGGGCAGTCGACGATCTCCTGGTTGAGTGATTGATAGCATGTTATGAGTTAACATGCTATTATTAGACCACGAGATGCTACCAAACAATAGCAACAGCGGTCGAGACGAGCCTGCCACAGTCGAATGTTTGCTCACGATTTTCCGCGACTCCCTCTCAGGGCCTTTTTTTTTGACATATTTGCCAAAAGTGGAAAATTGTGCAAGGAAACTGACTTCACATGATTTACGTGGAGGCTTGTCCCGCTAAAAATAATTTTGATTGTCCGGCTCCCGCTGCTGTTCGAGTGGCCATTTCCAGCTTCACAAATCAATTGCCAATTTCGGTCCAAAAGATAATCATACGGGTCTGGTTGGACCTGGGTCTGGACCTGGCCAGCAGTCTTTCCTGGCGCCACATCTAAGCTCTGAAACATTGGGACTTTAAGGTTTCGTACTCTTATAAGCAGAAAATAGTATGTACTTCCATTTTGTATTCAAAAGCCGAACCAAAGTCAATGTCAATACATGACTGAAGACAGGTGGGCTGTCAGTGTTTCTAATTACGGTCACTCGACTCATTAATTCATACTGTGAGGCTTAAACCTATATTTCCATATGGGTTGTTTCGCTAAAAGCTTTGTCGAAAAAAGTATCTGGAAGGTGCCCATATTCTGCACAGTCATCCGACAAACCTGTTCCAGAGATAATCAAAGTCTAGAAAGCAGCGTTCTTGGATCTTAAATATATATCGGGTGTGCAAACAAACGTTCAATTGCCCCAAAATATCTTTGGGCAATGAAAGTGTGCTCCTCGGCCGTTCCCTTTCAAATTAAATAACAATGCGCGCCACTTAATTTGTTATACCATTGTTAAAGTTCCATAAAATCTGATTTGGGGTCGCCTATAGAGCCATTTGGAAGAGCTATGGATCTATTCAGTCGCCTGGGGCCATTGAAGAGGTCTCCAAAAGTGCATCAGTCAAGAAGACGCAGAGGAGATCAAACGCCATTTAGGGTGACAAGTTAATTAAAATTGTATAAACTCCAAAGAGCTCCGACAGCCCAGAAAGTGAGAGTCGAGAAGCCGCAGACGCCTGAGCGAAATTATAACAACGCTGCTCCAAGCCAACTATGCATAAAATACTGGTTTTTCTCAGCCCCAAAGCTATATACGTTTAAAATAGTTGATATAACACCGAACCTCAAATACCCTTCAGGGGCAAGTACTGACCGCACTGGTGTGGCGCCCCTTTAGGTCTTGGCAACTACCAAGAGTAGTCTTGAAGATAGCTACCAGTCTTTGTAGCCGATTGCAGACTTCATGATTTAACTGATATACCCCTAGAGACCAAAAAGATGCCTTTTTTAGGAGACAAAAGACATTCGATTTTGACGCAGTCGAACTTGTCATCGCTGGCCGGGGGAAACGACGACGATGTGTTTTGGAGTCGTGTCTGGTGGCCGATGGCCGATGGCCAAGACTCGGTCTGAACTTGGCTTGCGCATGCGCTACCGTTTTCTTGGCCAGTTGTATTTTGGCCATTAGCACGTACGGAGCTGCGCCCGCGCCTTGAGTCCGCCCAGCCAGTTCGAGCCAAGTGTGAAAATCATACAAATGCGAGTAAACGCGGCTCCACTTACCAGAAACAGAAACTAAAATTGAAGTTGGTGTTAACACACTTTCGACGGTTTTTGCACGAAAGCGAAAGTTGCGTGCCCCAGTGGAGTTTATTGCTCGCATGGTGTTTACAACAGCCCCCACACAAAACAAATAAAGAAGCAAAATAAGAAAAGCTGATTTTGAATACTAATACAAATCAAAGCGGTGCGAAGTTCGCCGTCTACGCAGTTGGCCAAAAATCAACCTTCGATTCAATTACCAAGCTCCTAGCCAAGATGCCAGCCGCCAGTTCGCATCCACGACTGTTCTTCTACCTGCTCTGCGCCGCCTCCCTCCTGGCCGTCTCCAAATCGGACACCGGTAGTACAAAGAACTCTTACTTCATGTCTTATTTCTACTATTTGGTTATTAACTTTATTAATCCCTTCGCGATGCCCATATTCTACCGCTTCGCGAAGGTGTTCCTCACGTAGCGGAGCTAGTTTCGTAAGCGAAGAAGCCCCAGAAGTCTGTAAATATAGAAAATAATGAACACTATCCCATAAGTCTGTAAATATCTTGTAGATAAGCTTGTAAATATGAAGGGCTTAGGTAATGGTTGATGGACGTGTACTAGGTTGTATTCTCAACGAATTTGTGATAATCATAATGAAACACTGTGTTATCCTAATTGTACAATAAACGAAACTACTTGTATTGTTACTTGGGATGGTGTTTTATTGTTAATTCGTTTAAGCTAAGACTACTTGTTAACTGGTACTGGAATCGGTTTGGGAACTCTGTGTACATATTGCCATTTTTAGAGTCTTATTTTGACTGTGTAACCCATATTAGCCTTTGAATAAATCGAGCCAAGTTACAAGAAGAGACGTGCCGGTTGAGTCAATGCCACGCCGCCATAAAGCCGCCGCGATAGAGTCGGCTCGTAAATCCAAATCACCTGTCTTATAGCCAGCCACTACAGTATTCCACATTCCCGGTATGTACCTGGCTAATTTCGCGTTGTTTGAAGATAATTCAATGACTTATTCTCTACCTTGAAGCGTGATTGTTTTCGAGGTAGTAGCAGTGCATCGATAGCCGCCTCCATAATGTGTGCAGCTGATCCGAGGAGAGGGCTTTCGGCATCCGTCGAGCACGTCTCTCTCCCAGAGGCCCTCTCGGACAGCTCTCGGCTGTCCATGATCTTGACCACCAGGCAGCTCTCAATGTGGCCAACTGGTTTCATTGACATCGAAAATCAAAATCGGCTCGTCTCCGCGGCTACGGACCAACCCGTTTGGCCAACCCGCACCCAAGGTTAATAGTTGAAACTGTTAGGCGATCTCTCGGCTCGCCGGCTGCTGCCGCGTCAGTGGCTCGACGCGGAACTGTTTAGCATAAAACGCGGAAGTGTCTCGGCCGCGGATGATTGGGCAAAATCGTTTGTTTATATTTCTGTTGCTTTTTGGACGTTTCACGGTGCACTACAAAAAAGTCTTGAGCTACTAATCTCGTTTTCAGAGGGAAGCTGGTGGTAGAACTATGTTTCTTGTTCTTTTTTTTCTTGTGGACCAGTTTTATATTAGTGATCCGATCCCCCAGTGCCGTTGCAACCTCCCGCCGAGGACTTGGCCTACGATGCAGCCTTGCAGCTGGGGCTGCTCAACCACCGCCTGAATCTCCTTGCCCACGAGGAGGAGGCCAGGCAACTGAGCTTCCCGAACGTGACGCTGGGCGGCCTGGTGAACCGCATCCCCTGTAGCTGCGACACTGGCTTGTGCAAGTGCTGTGCTGGTAAGTCGAAAGGATGTGCGAGCACATCGGCTTGAAAGGAGCATCTTCCCAACTTCCTACCGATCCTAGGCTTCCTCTCCGTCATCGGGATGAACAGTTGCACCGAAATCGCCTACCGCCCGGACGAGTTCTCCTTCGAGCTGCGGATGAGGGTCAACAACAACATCTGGTTCCGGCGCAAGGTCTCTGGCCAGAACCCACCGCCCTTCTGCTTCCGACCGCCGCGCTTCAACTTCGCCAGGGCCTGCATCCAGTTCCACGACATTTGGTTTGTGGGCCGCAACATGCATGTGTGCATGTACATGTCCGGGGAGTTCCAGGGATTCGAGCTCTTCGAAAGGTTAGCTCCGGTGATAGTCCTTAGACCTCGACAGTATTGAACCCTTCTGCTTTTAGGAACTTTGACTGCCTCCTGTTTGGCGACCACGGCGTCAAGATCGTCCCCCCGGAGCAGGGATATCCGGTGAGGCCGAACGACGTGGACATTGACGACGGAGACGATGAGATCGAGGACTACGATGAGAACGTCGTACGCAGCCTGGCCGAAAAGATGATTGGCTAATCAAGGCGACTAGGATTCTAACTAATTTATGTATTTATTTATTTATTTGTATCTTAAATGCATCCTCCCACCCTCTGAGTTGATAAAGTACCTCCAAGTTTGATTTCAATCCTTCCAACCTGTCTGGCACATCACTTGAGTAAAAAGCCCACCTGTTGTGTATCATCCGCCTCTCCGGGTTCAAGTGCGAAAACTGCAAAAATGACGTGTGATGTGCCCCTGCCACAGCTGCCACGGATGCCACAGAAGCCACCCAGGCCACTTGCAGCCAGCCATTCAGGAACGAAATAAAAGGGAGAGCTCGACACAGGCAGCAATTTGTAAAGGATAATGCAACCATGGGCTGCGGCTGCACCGCATGTGCAACACCTCGACAGGGCGGGGGGAGCGGGGCGGGGCTCGTATTTGCATTGAAATGCATATGCACAAGCACGTTGACTGTTGCACTTCGTTTGACTTGCAGTTGACTGTGATAAAGGACTTTGTGCTGCAAGGATGCAGCTGCAGTGGCAGCGTCAGAACGACCGGAGGAGGAGAGGCGTATTATTTTGCACTTGACTGCTTTGAATGCGACTAGGGCTTCAAGTCAAGTGGTGGGCTCTGGAAACGTATGTGTAGGACTGGTGCATCCAGCTAAGCGGCGTTGCACCTCAAGTACTTGGAGGGGGGGCGTGCCACAAACATGATAATGAATGAGCTTATAAACACAGGTACGACTTGACTGCTTATTAGCTGCTAAACAATTACCCAACTGACGGGGCCGAAACCGGTATTTACTGTTGTGCCTCTTAAATGATCAGCCTATTCATCCATAAAAATCCATTTAAATAACAATAAACTGACCCCTCGAGAGGGCATAACGAGGTGTGAACCGCAAGCTGACCGGGGGACGGGCCTAATTTAAAATTCAAATGTGAGTGCGTGTTCATAATGAGCATTTAGCGGCGTAATTGATTTGTTTGCTCGGCTCACACGCGACACAGGACACACGAGACTGACCAACCTGGTCAGTCCAGGACGCACCACAACAGATACCGACCCTCCGTTGGTCAATTCGCCAGGACACGCGGTAAGGGGCGGGGTGCAGGACGACCCTTCTCGTTGCGGCGCAACAGATAGAGTTCCAACTCACTTAGGGCGGAGTGGTCAGTTGATGCGATTTGTAAGACACCACCGTATCCCCTCTGTCCTCTGTCCATTTTTATTTTCCTGTCCATTCCCCGAGGTCAATTATGTTATTTCCGGTTTAATCTGGTCAGTGGGCAAAAAAATATAAACATCACGGTCAAGTGGTTAGCTCCGTGGCGAAATGGCCCCGGGGGATTGGCTGCCCAGAAACCGGATTGAGTGATACTTTTTCTGGGCCCTTCGGTATTGGATTATGTCACATAAATCCAAATGGAGTGGTAATTGAATCGGACACATATTGACTAGGATTGGGGCGTGTTACACTGACTTCCATCTGCATATTAGGTTTCTGGCTAAGTTCTGATACAAATACATGCTAGGATATTTCAGTTTAAAGGTATACATACCATTACCCTCCTTCTATGGCCTCCATTCTTTTCAAATTTAAATAAATAATATGAAATAATAGATATTTTAAATTCCATTTTAAAGGCAGTCCGAAATATTCTTGGAGAGAAATTCCATTTCTTGAGCTAAGGTCCCAGACTTTTCTTCTTCCAGCCAGCCGGAACAAAAAAACAAATATGTTGGAAAAAAAAGATTTTAAAAACTACCCCCAAAAGTAATTAAAACACTCGGTCCTTGCTCCAGACGAAGGAGGCCTTGGCTGCCTCCTGCCGCCACGAAGGTTAATCAAAGCAGAATATACAAAAATACAGAGAGACGGGATGGACAGCCACGCTGTCCTTGGGGTTTAATTTCTTTTAAATTTGTACATTTCGCCAGGAGGGAAGCTCGGAATGATAAAAAGAAGCCATCAGCTTCTGGAAGTGAATCTAGGAATACCAACAGACTTCTGCGGGCAAACGTAAGTCCTGTCCAAAGAAATGCACTTAATCTTGGTTAACTCGAAATATTCAAAGGCAAGGACATCTCTCACGTAGGGCCATTTGTTTGCCTCAAATTTTAACAATTTCTCATCAAATATCAGCAAAGGAAATCTTTGCACGCGAATCGAAATCGAAAAGATACGCCAAGAAGTTCGAAAGGATACGCGTGGAATCAGAAACCCAATACAGCGACAGGATACATACAGATACGCAGGCTATGTACGCGACTTTCATGCGTGATGAGCGGGAAATTTCCCCACTTTTCGCGTACTATATAAAGCTGCTATGTACTTGGGAGTAAATAAGGCAGAACTTCCAATTTTCGGGGTGGAAGAAGGGCTTCCAAAAGGGTTAAAATCTGTGCCTACTCGAGAAGCGGCGGGAGAAACATGCGTGAGCGGGGTGTGCGTGTGTTTGTGATAACAGAGTTGCCAGTCCGTCGCGGGCATTATCCTGGGAAGCCCAAGGAAGCAGCACAACAATGGGAAGACTAAACAAAGTCATTTACATAACTAACGAAGTGGGTGAACAAAGCCTTCAGAGGTGGGAGATGGGATGTGGGAGATGGGGTGAAAAGCCGAGGAGAAGGGTGCTACTACCAAAGGAAGCCAACGGATGTGGACGCGGAGGTTGATGGCGCGTGTTGGCGGTTTGCGTGGCCAAAATGAAAATGGCCACCGATGCGCATCTTAAATGTGATGTGTCAATTCTTACTCTTTTACTTAAAAAGCCCTAAAAGGATCTCCAACATTGCGCATCCTGCTGGCTGCTAAGCCTTTTGCCTTTTCCATCAAGAAGCTCCTGCCCATAACGAGTTAGACTGAAATATTTAGGGTTTCCCCGTCTCTGTAAGAATTGTAAGATATTCACAGCTGCCAAAGTCCAAATTTATTTAAAAATTAATTCAAAAGCCTGGCCACATTTCGAAACTCAAAACTTTGGTGAATCTTTCACATTGGTGAGCCCTAGCCTAGCCCAAACCCAAAGCTAATGCCCGTACTGGGTGTGGCAGGGACACGAGGGTACCCTATGGTGTAAACTGCTGGACCACCGCCAAATAGAGCTCGATAAAAAGCTTCCGAGGCGAAGCCGCTTCCGGTCAGCAAGGCCAATACCAAAACTAAAGCCTGGAAAGAAGAGGGACGCCTATGGATAGTGTTCCAAATAGATCCAGAACTACTTACCAAAAGCCGAGTCATTCTGGGAAGCGTTATTCCGAAGACGTTGGAGATAGTTCCGAAACTGCTGGAGAAACACTCTGAGACTTCGATTATATAGGAGTTTTTGGACTCTACGCTAGATTGATAAAAAATATGCTAATATACGTTGTAAAACTAATAGCATTACTAATCTTTGTAAAAGGATCAAAGGTTAAATTACCAAGATGCATTAAAAATATATAGCTTCTACCAATTGGTGCAATATATAATGAGAATTATAAAGTCATGAATAAAACTTCGATATTGAAAAGGTGCTTTAGGATACTGTTTAGACAGCTTACCTAAAAATACTTCTCAGTTTAGTAGTTTATGCCCACACCACACTTCAAAGTCCACTTGAGAATGAATTATTTGGTGCCAGAAGATTAAACATTCTTTTAATTATAATTATTTAATATATCACCGCCTATAGTTTTAAAAAAAGTTCTGTTGGATTCTCTATTAGGACCTGGGGAACTTAAAAAACCCCTAATGTATTCCCAAAAATTTTAAAACACGTGAGGCTAATTGTATTCGAGTGGGTAGTATATTTTCATATTCATACAAAAAATGTAATATTTAACTACACCACATATAACTTTTGACCATATCAAGGACATCCATCAATACCTTCCATAGTTGAAGGAAAACTGTTTGGAGGGTGGGGCCACATAGTAAGCGCTTGGAACCCTGTAGTCCACGGGTATATCTACTCTGGCTCCTCCGCCTGTAAGAGCGCTTATGATGGCCGGTATATTTGCAAGAGTAATGCCAGCCAGCACAGTCACGAGAAGAAATACAATCTGTAAAATATACCCAGATTTTTAATTATATTCAACAACTTACAATGCCTACCTACCAATAGACGAGCCATCATGGAAATGTTGGGCTTCAGTTGGAGGCATTGTGTTTATATAGCCCATTTTTTTAAATATTCAAATTCAGTTTAAAAGGCTAGCACCCATCACAAAGCTCTTAAACTCAATGTGTTCCAGTACTAAACAGGGGTTAATATAGACATTTTAAGCTTAAGAAAGAAGTCTTCTAAGCCGAGATTTTTCTCAAATATATATATCATTTTTTTTTAATCTTCTTTTATTTACAATCTGTCTGTTTAAGCAATAAGTAAATTTTATGATTAATGATTAAATTAACAGAAATAGTAGGTTTCCAATGATTCCTGCTATTATATAGTATAACATCTTTTTAGTTGGTTGGATTACATATCTCTCAGTCTTCTTACTGTTAAACTATTGCCAACTAGACTTAATTATTTTCATGGTTATTGGGTCTATCAATGTATTTCTTACTTATTTTATTTGTATCTTTTTTTATTGATGGGATATTAAGATAAGGAGCATTGACGGTAACCCCCAAGTATCTCAATATATGAATTGCTAGCAGTTCCCCAGAGCTTTTCTCATATATGGGTTTTGTCGTTAAACTACTTGAAACGTCATATGTTTGTAAAAAGATACGTATAATATCTTTCTTATCCAACCTTTATTTAACAATTACGATCAAGTTTACAACTTTTATATGCTAATAAAGGTATTGAGTAAGGTAACCTCAGAAAGTAGGATAATAAGTTTTTCGTATATTTCTTTTATTTGATAAAATTCTTTTAAACATTGAAAAAAGCGCTGATGTATTAAGTCGTTATTAAAAGAAGTAGAGTCTTCACTTCCAGCCCATAGTTGGTACCACCTTGAATCGACAGTAACATTAAGAAGCATCCTGAAAAAGAGTTTGCTTTTGAACTAGGAAGTACTTGCCCTTTGAAAACAACTTGATTTGGAATGCTGCTTATATTTATTAATGGGTATTACAATTACAAAGCTTGGCCAAGACAAATGATACTATAACCCCGACACTTGTCGTTCTTACTAATACTAAATAGATTAGGCCTAGTCGTTAAACCGTCAGATCCAGTTATCCATTGCGTTTTGATGTGACCTCCTGCTAACCCAGTACGCCGAGCAGGGGGAATAGCCCGGTCAAAATTTTCTTTGGCGTGGGAAGTAATGCTCCCAGGTCCACGCTGACGGAGCCGGTCAAACCTCTATTGATGCCCAGGTTGCCGGATCCATCCGTGGAAGCCCTGGTCTGTGAGGAGAACCCGAACATGTTGCCCAGACCACCGAATAAGTTTCCGACCGGAGTGAAAATGCCTAGGGGGTCGAGTAGGTTGAACCGTGGGATTTTGAAGAGTCCAGTGCCGAACAGTCCGTTCTGGCCGAGGAGTCCCGTGCCGAATAGTCCTCCGTTCCCAAAGAGTCCACCGCTGCCGCCTGGAGGTCTCTCTATATTTCTGCTGGCGTCTGCTCCAATACCCAAGTTGATATCAATACCTCCGCTGCCACCGAACCCGCCTCCTGGTGCACCCACACCACGTGGACCACGTGAACCACCTAGACCGAAGGAACCACCTAGACCGAAGGAACCCCCTGGACCACCCAGACCACCTGGACCGAAGGAACCACCCGGACCACCCAGACCACCTCGACCACCTGGACCACCTGGACCACCTAGACCACCTGGACCGAAGGGACTACCTGGACCGAAGGGACCACCAGGACCACCAGGACCACCAAGACCACCAGGACCACCAGGACCACCAAGACCACCAGGACCACCAGGACCACCAGGACCACCCGGATTACCTAGTAAACGTCCAACAAAATCATTCACCGGAGGATTCAGTGATAGTGATGGAAAATTGGTGCCCTGAACGATGGGGAACGAACCGGGTCTTTTGTTTTTGATGATTGTAATCAAGTCGTTGCCCGGGCCAGCAGAAGCCGATATTTGACCGATCGAGGGATCCCGGAAAACTCCTCCGTTGGCCACGAGGTTGGCTGCTTGGGCAGCCTGCAATGCCGCAGCCGCGGAGCCTGCTCCATCGAGTCCGCGAATTCCTCCTGGATTGGCTCCGAACAGCACGTTCAAGTAGCGCAGTGGAGCCAAATTGATGTCTGCCAATCCGTTCAAGGCAGACTCGGTCTGGCGGGCTATTTCGCTCAGCACTGCCTGAGAGCTGCCTACGTAAAGCGCCAGTGAAAGGATGAGAATCTGCCAGGACTAGGTGTTAGTACCAAGTTAGGTTGAGGGAAGAAAGCAAGAGATTCGTTACCAATTGTCGCGCCATGGCTGAACTCAATGCAACTGATGCTCTCGGCTTATTTGGGTCTGATTTTTATAGGGCTCCGAGTGCATGGAAATTTGAATATGAACTAGGAGAATAATTATGCAGACGTAGACTTAAAGTTCAGAAATCGGCTGAGGTGGAAATGGCTTATTACCGTAGGAAATCGCTCAAATAGTTCAAACGTGGGTCCATTTCACAGAAACTTACCCGCTTTAAATCAAAATATCGTGGTTTCCTTAATGACCACTAATAATATCAATATCTTGAGCAATATCTATAACTCTTCATTTAAGGGGACCCCCCCCCCATTCTCGATTTTAAATTTTGACGATTTTCAATGGGCTGGCAAATGAACATAAATTATTTTTTAAGGTTGTAACTGTGCTTACATATGTATATTAAGACACAAAAAGGAAGAAAATCATTTCACAGAATTTTTTTTGTTTTGTTTTTGTTGTTGTTTTTTGTGATCAAAGAAAAGCCAACGGGATTAGAAAATATACATGTTTGGCTCTCGTATGAACTAGGATTATTAACTTCGCTCAAAAATTAACAAAATGGTGGACCTTTGAAATTTTTTTTTGGAAATTTCCATTTTTTTCAGCCACAAATGGAGTTGAAAAGTAAAGAAGATCTTCGCCGATTCGATTTATCCTAGTTCATACGAGAGCTATATATGTATAGAATAACGTGTTAAAATTTGGAACCGATTGGATTAATAGTTTTTGAGTAACCTCATGCGCCAGTCGTAAAAACACTGTTTCGAGAAAAACGCTTTTAAAGTTTTGAGACGGCTCTCGCCGTCGCCTGAGACTTCCACCATAAATCGGCTATATCTTCAAGAGTTTTTAAATTTTTACTTGAAATTTTCAGGGAACATTCTTGAATAGTTACAAGTTCGAATTAAATTAAAAAAAAAAAATCAATTTTTTAAAACCGAGAATGGGGGGGGTCCCCTTAAAACTATGAAAAAATTCCCATAATTTTTCACTGTTTTGTTAGAGCATACCCCTTTAATAATATGGGCTTCCATCCATATTTTTGGAATCAGGGAATCACTTAAGAAAACGAAAGGACTGAGGAAATCCTTATATTTTTTTTATGAAAAATTTCTACAATTTGAAGCTCTAAAGTCACATCTCAGATTAACTTTAAGATGAAATTTCCACGTCAATAACCGCACCCGCGTATCTGGACCTCAAAAAATGTAAAGTTTGTCCAAAGAAAATATTTACAAGCACCTTGGCACTTTAAAGGATGCTTCACAGAGTACAACAGCCAAAAAAAAAAAAAGAAACCAAAAACGCAGATCGAAGTGAACGAAAGCAAATAGAAAGTTTGCTATCTGGTTAGGTGGTGAGTTTTTTGTTTATTTTTTTGGCTTTCGTTTTTAAGGATTTTTCTCTTTTGCATCAGAATAGGAGAGCCCACCCCAGCTACTTTAAAATTCAAAGGGACTGAATATAGTATTTGGGAAGCGACAAAAAGTTGAAGGACTTGAAGGGCCAACACTTTTAAGACGCTACCCTCTTCTGTTCGGCGCGAACACCTTCCTGTAAGACGCGGCCTGGAAAATGCATTCGAATGTGTTTTTATTGACGGGCCCGAGGTTGCCCGGATGTGTTGTCCTTTGGGCTTTCCATTCCAATATCCGCCGGTGATAAGTTGAATTACTGACAAGACTTTGCGGCAGCGATGTCGCCAGCAGGCCTGGTCGTTGTCCGGCCCAGGATGCTAATGTCCTTTACGCTTTCGTTTCACAGCCACTGGCCCTCCTCGGTCCGTGTCCTTGCCGCTGATTCGATTTTGGTCCTTGGGGTTGCCATGCCGCCCGCATCAAAGGAAGCCCTGATATCGTTTATCTGACTTTTCGCTCACTGCTGACTTTTATTGGCTTTAATTTATGCTGATTGACAAAGTAATGTGTGTTCCGCGAAATGCTGCAACTTCATTTGGCTCAGATAAATTTAGACTGTTTTTTAAATGCTGTGTCCTGGCAGCAGGCAGGCCATTTACATAAAAGTATCCAGACTAATTGAAATCGGCCCGAAATTTGGCCGCACGCATATATCATAAATGTCAACCCATTATAGCTTCCTCTGGCGGACCGGGCCAGAGGGTCAGGCGGGACGATTGCCAAAGTGCGAGAATGCGTGTCGTATGTAAATTAATACGAATGGAGAGACGGGATAACTTTGGCACTGGAGGCCCGAACATGCAAAGGACATCAAAAGGACACACGCAATAGTTCTGGGCCGAGTCCCAGTGTCTTCAAGTGCTAATAAACTACATGCACACCGAATGCGCGTTAATAATTTATGTGGCTAATAGACGACAGGATAAACATCATATGCAGGGAATCCACTTCCCGTCCCGCCCGGCTGCCTATCTCTGGGTGTATCCAAAGGACACTAGCCTCTGGGCGGTCGGAGGGATGCAAGGGTGTCGCTACCCACTGGGGTTGTGTCAGCGACGTCAACCCTTTTTCTCCATTAATTTACGAGACATATTTTATTGTGTTTTCGGCCACTGAGTAGCCAAGACCCTGCCGAAGAACCTTGACACTATCGCTTTGTCTATCGCGATACTGTTCGTGTAATCAGGGTAAACATTTCACCTCTGCCCCCGAGCCAATTCGTTCCTTGTTTGCATATCATCGTAACATACACGAAATGTCCCTCCATTGTCTCTGAAATTTAATTAACAAAAGGGTCAATTGTCGCGTGTGAGGGCCTCTTCTGCCCCCCCCATTTATGGGCAAACAATATTTTTGATTAATTTATGAATATTCGTGTGAAATTCTGTACTTTCTTTATTTATTTATGCCTGCATGGATCAACATTGCGTGTCGCTCGTAAAACCCCAAGTTTAATGAGAGAAATTCTGATAATTACATTTATTATTTTTAATCGCTCCTAAATGCGCCATAAAAAATGGAGTAGGGGGACTGATAAGATCTCCGGGACGAATCAAATCAATTTATAACAAACAGTAAGCATCTAAAGAGGATGCGTCTGAGGCAAACTATTTCCAGACCTAAATTAAAACTGAATTCCGAAAAGTCATGCCCCAACCAGGGACATTGTTGTCTTTTATTTTCAATTTTCATTTTCCCAAATGTAAGTTGACAAAGTTACTGGCTGGGGAAGTAAAATCAATAATAGACTAGAGACCCTGGGCTGTGGGATGATTTTCTGCTTAGGACACTTTGACTGTCGAATGAAACATTTAAAACTGACTTGTAACAACGAGTGGGAACTCTCAGGACACTACACACAACAAGGTAACCCAGCCTTCTAAGCAGGACCTCTATGCAGTTTAAGGCAGCCCCCTCTTAAGGCTCCTTGTCCACCTTAGCGTTGTCCTGCGGCGTCTGGCCATGAATTTTTCATGGCACTTTTTAGGTAAACCAAGGAGTGCACAGATAAGTGCTAACTGTTATAGCCCAGAATCCGCGCTGGCAGAGACTGCAGTGGAATCGACCTGAAAGCAGGATGGAGGCAGTAGGACAGGGCAGAGCTGTCACTCCGGAAAGTGCTTGCCCATCGCACGAGGTGGAGTCAGAGTGCAGATTTCCATCAACGGCAGGACATGAATAATAAATGCTCCAGTCCAGTTTGAATATGTGCTAAGCTGCCAGTAATTGGAGACAAGCCGAACACTTAGGCCCATTTCCCCACACACCTCTCCTCCTACAAAAATCGGTCCACGTATTGCACAAAAAGGATCTGGGTCTACCCCAGCCCTATAATGTGAGCTTTCGCCACGGCAATTAACTTTACAAATCGCATGTGAGTCTGTGATTAATTATTCCAAAACCGGACTCTTCGGCCGGACAGTTAACCCATTTCGACATCGATAAGGGTTGCACTAGCAGCTGTGCGTTTGCGGCGGGGGTGACCGCCCCAGTTTTTGACATTTCAAACCTCGAGGAGCACTCTTGATGAATGTTTGCTCATAAGGCGTAAATTGAAACTATTCTTGACCATGGCCCCAAAACTTGTGGCCGCTTGACCACATGCCACTTAGCACATGGTTTCGCATTCGGACCCGACTACTCACCCAACACCCAACTCGCATCCTGGGGCCGCTGCACATGTGTTGCCGGTGCCTGGAAAAGGGTCGGTCAGCTTTCTTATCGGCAGCCAAAGTTTGCATTAATTTTGGCCCGGTCAACACTTCATTAATCACACCCGAACGGGCCAACGATTTCAAATGTCCTGTGGTCAAGGACATGTGCGTGAGTGCCGAGTTCCATAAGACGCTTATCGCTTTTATTGAAAATGTGACACACGAAGCCGTTTCTCTTTTGGGCACGCACACAGCATCCTGCCCAGGACTCTAACCCTTGCTGCCCTTACTCCGTATTCAGATTCTCTCTATGACAGATCCTTTCTTCCTTGGCATCCCTTCTAACAGCTGTTTATTCTGGCAACAAATTTTGAAAGGTGGTTAGACTTAGATTGGGCAATAGAAAGGGTTAACTTGGGGTTGATGACCCTGAACAGCACTCCTGAACAGCATTTGCATGTGTGAGGGCAGTTCAAACTACATATTTGTAGAAACTCAACGTTAAATTCGTTAATTTTTACTCGAGGGCCAGAAGTAACGTGAAGAAAGAAATTATGATAAACAAAAACAAATATAAAATTACTTTTATAAACTCAAAGAGTGGAAAAGTTGATTCGCCGCGAGTGAAGTGGAAAAAAGGAAGCAAAACTTATTGTAAGCACATTATATTATACGCGAGGCTGTGTGTCTGCATCCGCATCCGCGTCCTTCTTTATCCTTCATAATTTGCAGGTCTGTTGCCGCTGCTGATGATGCTGAAGAGCCCACTACAGCTCCACAAAAAAAGCAGAAAGTTCCTCTTCCGTCCTTGCCTTGGGTGCCTATTTCCGTTCCCCTCCAATTTTTTCACAGGAGGAGTGGCAAAAAGTTAATGGATTGTTAGCTTGTGGTTTCCTTGGTATCTGCAATTAAAGCGCCAGGATACAAGCCACGTCTTCCCAGAGGATCCCTTATGTCCTCCTTGCTCCGTTGGCAGTTAATGAATTGCCTGCAAGTGTTTATAACTGAAAAAACTTGCAAGTTATGCCACATGAGGCTTTCTGAAAGAAACTGTTGATAAAATTATGTTAATTCTTGGCAAAGGATATGAGGTTACAAACTTTAAGTTAGAATCCATGAACCAATAGTCCATAGGTAGCCCATAAGGTAGTGTGTTTGTAGAATGATAAGGCTCTTTCCAGACCTTGTTACCAGGGCAGATCCTTGAAGAGAGAAAAATCGATAACCTACATCTGAAGTATAAAAAACGCAATGAACAATGGCCAAAGAACAAAGCAGAAACAAGAATAATTAAGGACCCAAAATGAATAACAACCCTCAGTTTTGACTGTGAAATCTTCATGTGCCTCATGTATGTTTATAATTTGAGAGAAAAAAGCCAGGATACGTGGGTAAAAGAATACAATTTTTTGTGAATATAATCGGGGTTGGGGAAATGGTCCAAAGCCTGTACCTAATGAAAGCTCTTTAAGGACAAACCCGAAAAAACTAGGCAAATGATAATTATATTTCACCTGTTTTTAAATTTCTGCTCCTTGTGTCCTGGGCACGTGTCCTGCTGGGCAAACATATATGTAACTTTAACCTCCTTACAGGTCACATGGAAAATCGCCTCGAGGCGAGTCCTTCTGTTGAAACTTCGAAGTGTCACCAAACTTTCGTGACCATCCCTTGGGTAGCTATCCGTTCCAAAAAGGATTTCTAGCTTCTCCTCCGGTCACGCCAGACGCATATGCTAATTAAGCAATTAATATTTGTGGGCGAGACAACTTAATTTATTTGCGAAGAAGGCATATTTCCATTGTGAAATGTGATATTGGTCCTGGGTCCTTTTTTATTCTCTCCACCTCTCCTCTGTAGTGGAAAGTGCGGTTGTGCGTCATGCGGCAAGACAATAAACTTATCACATGTTAGCCACTGCCTGGAGCTGAAAACTTTAGCAGCCAGTTTGATTTGCGGTCGCCCTGGTTTTGTCCTCTGCATGTCCTCGGCCCGCCGCCTGACAGGACACTGATATGCGACCCTGCCTCTGGATCAACGTCTTGTGTTATTCACAAGTATTTCATCAACTTTTCGATGCACAGTCAGCAATAATATTTTCTTAGACACATTCCCCAGCTGAGAATAGGTCCGGGCACTGTTTTGCGGTCAGAGCCGTTGGCTGAGGAACATGTGCGGGTCCTTCAAGAGTCCTGAAGTGAGCCAAGTGCATGTGGAAACTGGAGCTACTGTCTTGGGGCGACACTTGCCAGACACCACACTGGAATGAGATGAGTTGGGCTGCGGTCTTCTGACAGATTTGCGTAAGTTTGGTCGGGTGACAGGGGGCATATATGAGATTTAAAACTTTAAATCAGTTTTTTGATCGAATTTAACTATTCCTTTAAAAGTTTTTACCAAAAGCAGAAGGGTAAGATCAACCTACAAGCTTAATGCCCCACTTTTTAATTTCACGCAAGATTAAAACTGACCTAGGGTCATTTACGAGCAATTGGCTGAAGGCGAGCGTGCGCCGGCAAACCCGTTTCTATATTCCAACCCCAGTTTCCCCTGCCCCTGGCTGCATTCTCGAAGAATGCAACCAAAGGGTTGCTCAGTGGGGACGAGGGGTGCCAATTGGCTGCATGACATTTTCAATTGCGTACATTTTCCCAGAACGGGGTAACTGCAGCACTTGACATTGCTAGGCGGCCCCGCAGGGAAAAGTTGCATACAGGATGCATTTCAACTCGGACCTTCGCAGGGCAGGGAGTCTAAAAAAAAAAAAAGGTTCAGACATATTACACGAATAAAATAAACGCCCGTTTCCAGTTCTAATGGGTTTTTCTACAGCCCCCAGGACCAACCGTCACTTTCGGCATTGCATCCTTTCGCTTGATTAAGATTAGAACGCCCAAAAAAACACCTCCTTCCTACTCTAGTATCAGTCTTTGAACAAAGGGGGCATTTGTGTCTCAAATTTGGTTTGGTGCCAAAGCACAATAGGGGACTACTCGGGTGAATGTCAACGCGAGTCCTGAAAAAGAAATAAAAATATCAAATCTTTTTTGGGCATTCGAACGCTTGAAGGTAGTGTGGAGCAATGATTTTTAGATTATTAAAATGTAACAATAGCAGAACGACGGAGAAGACAACTTGTACAGGACGTCGGCAGGGTACTGAAATATTTTGACATTTTTCAAATTAAAGTGACTTGTTCTACCCTCGTTCTCAGTTCATTTGCGTTTTATCCCTAGCACCTTTTTCATTACATATTAATTCATGCACAATTTCAAAATAGAACCATAGGAAAGTCATTTCAAGGGGCAGAAAAAAGGTGAAATGCAGAGAAGTTCCTAACGTTTTATTTGGTTTTGTCAGAATATTTGTCAGAAATCGCATTGGATGGAGGAAACTTGAAATATTTGCATAATTTTAAGCAATATATCGTTCAATTAATCGTTAGACGAATTTCTCCTACTCTTATTTATGAAACTCATGGAAAACAAACCCCGCAAAAACCTAACGTCTTTTTCAAATTCAAAAATATGTTGCCCATTCATATCGATATATCGATAAAAAAATAATCCAAATATTTGGACACCATCTACACAGCGCTCTCTAGCGATCGGAAGCCGCAACCATCTTCTGTTAATTACAGCAAATTAACATTCTGTTGACTAAATATGCGGTGATGCCAGACTGAAAAAAAACCATCCGACTTGAGCTTGCCAGACTGGCCATAAATAACCAACTGGAGTTAAGAAGTGTGGCAATGTGAGCTTAAAAGTCTGGCAGCTTCAGAAGTTGGAGGCAAATTTAAAGTTCGAAGAAAGCCGGAATTTCCGGGGTTCTCTTACTGCAGTGCTAAATATCCACATTTCTTAACAATTAATTTCTGTTATTTTATAGAAATTGAAGTGGTAGGAAACATATTCACGATCCGAAAATTTCCAGGACATGCAATAGACGGGTCATAAAAAAGTCATATGTGTTTTTCTTAATTATTATTTATTAAAGGGCATTAATTTTAGTTAATTATTAATATATATTTGATCTCAAGTGTGAATAATAAACACCTAAAACAAGTAGAGAGGCAGAAACAGTCAATTCAAGACTAAGTTTCCAGCGGATGGCCTTATTACACCCAAGATTATTCAGGTTGATGGTGTACTGAGACTCGTCTGGAGTCTGGCAAGCCTCCTGGGTACAGGACACATCCCCAAAACTCTGGGCTTGCACTGAGAAAAACAGTGGAGGACACGGCTCAAAGTCATAGCCAACACAGGCGTCGGTTAGATCGTAGCTATAGGAGCCCAGTGCCGTGGATTCGCAGGTTTCCTCCGGGCGTAGGGGCGAGGTCATGTTCCTAAACGGGAGCTCGATGCTCCGGGAGGTGCAGACAGTAAACGTAATCTTACTGATTGGCGAGATTTTCAGGTAACGCATGCTTTGCCTTTGGGGCAGGTAAAGAGAGTCCAGTCGGTAGAAGTTTATGCTGCCCAGACGAGCAAACTGGATGAGGGAGTTGCTTCCATACTCGGATATGACTCCATCTGAGTAGCAGCGTGGATTGGACACACGACGGGGAACTACAAAAGAGCTGATTATGCAATGGAACTGTCGGATCCCGTACCTTTCGACTCACCTTGCCGGATTCGCTTTATGACAGGATTCCCACAGATCTCAGGTGGCTTTTCGGTGTCCAATAGAAACAGATCCCTACTTGGCTCATGGACAAAGTCGTGGAACCTGACCAGAGCTCCTCCTCCGTAGTATATAAAGTGTAAGTTTGGTAGACGCCAGCTGAGACGCTTCATGTATCCCTGGCAGTAATCATAGTCCTGCTCGTTGACGTAGGACAGAGCGCTGGGTACCAGGAGCGCCACTATGGAGCGTCCACCAAGATTGTCGGAAGCTCTGTTGGCCGCCAGCAAGTCCTCCACTCTGCCGCTCAAGGTGTTCAGGATCAGGGGCAAATTAAATCCAGGGGGATCTGAAAAGCGAATCAGTAAGTTCTTGAATCTTTCGATAAACTTCATGCTTACGCCAGGAGTGGGTGGTGGCATTCCATTGCTGATAGACGTCTATAATGTAGTCGGTAGTGTTGACAATAACCGAGGCATCGAATGCTGCAAAAATAGTGACCCTGCTTGCCAAAGGATGGATGTTTAGACCTTGCAGCACATAGCTGGGAAAGAGTACTTATTAACTTTAAAATTAGCGATGGCCAGATCCAACTTACGCGACGTAGTCGACCACCCAGCTGTAGGGCCAGTAGGTGTCCACAAAAACGTAAATATCCGACATAACCGTAGTCCTGTTGGATATATCAGACCATTGTTGCGACGGGAACAAGTCCATGATCTCTAGAAATCGAGAAAGAATATAGGGGATTATGGGATTCTTATTCTAGTAGGCGAGTATTAGAGATAAGATCAATAGAAAGCGGGAACCACCACTCTTCAAATAAAAGGAGAAAGTGCAGTTCTAGTGGGAAAATTTATTCGCGACTCATCACTGGAACATACAACTTATGTAAGAAAGGTTATAAGAATAAGGTGAAACGACAAATTAAATGGATTTGGTTGTTTTGGGGACGGGCAGGAAGCCTTTGAACTCTGACTACCACTATTAATACGCTAAGACCCTTGGCACTGCTGTCACTGCACGATCCTCTGCAGGATCAGAGCCACCAGGACCGTCAGGAAGCTGGCTGCCAGACCCGCGACGCCGCTGTAGCATCCCATGTTGGCCATCGACACAATGTATCGCCATTGGTCGGGCGTCTGACAGGCATCCTGGTTGCAGGACGTGGTGTTTGTGGTGGCCTGGACTGACACGTAAAGGTCGGGGCACTGCGTGATGGTGTAGTAGCCTTGGCAGGCACTGGACAGGTCGTAGCTGAAGCTGTTTCCACTTATCTGCGAGCAGCTCTGGTCTACGGAGGTGGTCGAGCTCGTGGTCGAGTTCTGCTGGGGCCACTCGTAGGTACGTGAGGTGCAAATGGTGAAGGCTCCTCCATTCTGGGACTGAATAGTGAAGTAGCGGTTGGCGCCGGTTCCGAAGAAGTAGTTCGCCGCCACCCGGTAGAAGTTGACCTTTCCTGGGCTCACATACTGGGCCGTTTGGTCAGTTCCCCAGCTGGAGGTGTACCAGTTTGAACCACACCGCGGGTTAATGACGCGACGAGGAACTGCAGGAAGATAAATGTTAATCAGATTTACTAATTATAAGTATAATATTTATAATTTACTCTGAATAATGCGCTTGGCAACTGGTCCCGCCGAGGTGGCCGCTGTACTGCCAATGGTCAGAGAGAACAGGTCCTTGGAGGGATCGCGGACGAAGCTGGAGAACCTCTGAATGCTTCCACCGCCGTAGTATATGAACCGCAGATCTGGGATCTGCTCCTGGATGTACTGAATCTCTGTGGTGGCGTAGCTGGAGTCGCCGTCGTTGACTGTTGACTGATTCGGAATCAGCAAAGCCACTAGGGACCGACCGCTCAAACTGGAGTTGGTCCTCTCCTCGTTCATCAGGTTCTGAGTGAGGTTCTGGACGGATCGCAGCACGTTGGGCAGGTTAAAGCCCTGGTTATCTGTAGGACTTGGGGTCAAACAAAGGTGCGGTGGGATTGGCCAATATACTCACATTGCGCCTGCGTGGTTACGTTCCACTGCTGATAGACGTCAGTGATGTAACTGGTGGTGTTCACTATGACCTGGGCGTCCTGGGCCGACAGGACAGTGACCGTGCTGGCGTAGGGGTGAATGTTCAGTTGCTGAAGGACATACCTGCAAGGGGAATAGGATCCCACATTGGAATAAAGAGTTGGGATCAGAGCGGACATGCAGACTTACGTCACATAGTCGACAATGTTGCTGTACTGCCAGGAGGTGTCCAGGTAAACGAATATGTTCGTCATCGGCGTAATGACATCCGTCAAGTCCTGATTGCTGGTGGCAGTGCAGGTGACGTCGTTCAGGGATTGAGCTGTGGAAGAAATGGCCGAAAAGGCAAGAGTTCGTAACGCGTGCACTTATATGGTATCTGAGCCTTCAGGGTTCTGAGGCGAAGTCTAGTGAAAAGGTAGTGGTTCCGCGGCTTTTCTTAAAACAGGGATTACTTACGGACATATGTTACCAGGGACAGGGCGGCGTTGCTGGCAAACTGGGCGATGGCGGTTGGCGAAAGGGTGACTATCAGCTGCATCTGCTTATCCAGGACCTGGGCGAAGGCGCTGGTCTGGTCCTGCATTTCTTGGGACGGGGCCACATTGGTGAACTCGGTCTGTCTGCTGCAAGCGTTGATTCCGGAGCTCAAGACACCGTTTGTGGAGTAGTACATGCGGAGCAACTGTGACAGCTTCAAGCTGGAGGCCTGAGTCCTCCAAGTAGCCACGTTCTTGGCGAGAATCAGACCGTCCAAGCCGCCCCTGATTTCGGCATCGGTCGCTTCAAGGTTAGTGCGTTGGGACAGGAAGTACCAGTGCGGCAGAACAGTGTCGTTCCAGCCGCCGGTGGCCCCCACAGTAGCGACGTTGTTGCTGGCCATCGGCACCTGTACAAGCGTAACCTCAGCCAGATCCCCAGAGAGGGTGGCTGCCCACCGATTGTCGATGCCCGTGGTCGTCTGCGACATCTGCGTCCGCCCTCGCCTGAGGGCGGACAGTCCCAAAAGAGTGTTCACCTGGACGGTCTGCTGCTGGACACCGGCCGCAATGCCGGCGATTAGGGTTCCGGCTGAAACCGTGCCCCAGCTAGTGCGGACGAGGCCGTCTTCTACGGGACATTGACTGGTGCCTTCGCTTCCAACATAGGTCCAATCGTTGTCCTGCTGGGGCGCGGCGACAAGACTTCCGCGCTCCAAGCCTAAGCTTAGCCACTCAGCGTTACTGTTCTCGGCCTTCCTCCTCAGCGCCCTGGGCAGTCTCTGGGAACGGTACTGAGAGAGCTGATTGCAAACAGTATTCTCGTCACCGCGTTGCCTGGTGTCGAAGGTGCTCGAGAGCATGAAGTGAAGGGAGCAGCGCTCCACGCTGGTCAGTGAGCTATTGGGGAAGGTGTTGGCATTTCCCGGTATGAGACGGGAGAGCAGGATGCGGAACTTGGGAAACTGAAACCCGGTGGGGCTGTATGGAATAACGCCGTCAATGGACGAGATGCCGGATGCTCGTTTGATGCCGTCCTGGCGGAAACGGTGCAGCAGGGCCACTGCCACGGTGCGGATATCCGGCTGAACGCCTGATGAGGAGACGTAGCTATTCTCCACCTTCTCGATCAGCGAAATGAGAGTGTCCATGTTGGCTGGAAGACGGTTGTCTCGGTTCATAAAATAGGATGTGTTGTAGCACTCAATGAGAGACGGCGGGATTTGCAGCTGGGCGTTCTCTTGGGCCTGTGTGACTCCCAGGAGGAGGACCACACCCAGGCAGATGGCTGCTGCCCAAAAGGGATTCGACGACATGGTTGTGTTCGTTTCGAGGCTGGAAAAAAGGGGAAAACTTTATTATTTTTGTGAGAATTTAGCTGACCGCATGCCACCAGTTTACTGCCCCACATCTCTGACCCTGACACGGAAAATGACTGGCCAAGTGCTAGTCACTATCTACGGTATTTGACTTTGGTGTTGGACGCAACCTGTACATTTAGGATTTGTAATTGGAAACGCCCACCCATATAGTAGGCTCTTATCATGCTCTGGGCCCTTGGATGTCTCCAAATTGTTTACTCAGAGTATTGATCAAATCATTAGTCATTGTAAATATTGTTTTATGAACCGCAATAATCGGGTCAAATAGTCACATTCTTATAGTTTCCTTGATCAAACAAAAGATACAGCTTTAAAATTTCTTCACTTCCGTTTGACCAGACAAGTGATTCATTTGTGGGAGGCCTATTGCGGCTTTAACAGCCTATAGTACTTCAGAGGCAATGGCTACGTCATTTTTATCAGTAGAGAAATGTTCCGAAATAAGCCGTTGATAACGAGTTTTTTTAAAACATTTTGTACATAGTACTAACTTTGCCACATTTTTTTTGGTGTGTGTCGTCACCTATGTGAGTATTCAGTTATCAGACAAAAAAATAAGGCGCTGTAAAGCAGTCAATGAGTCAAGTCCACTGGACAGGTATGTTATATATATTGCACACACATTCAATATCGGTTATCAGTTGATATGAGATCCGCAAAGTTTGTTTTTCTTTTTGTGTGCTCCATATAGATTGGTTTTAAATGTTGAACAGATAAAAGCGATTCTTTGCGATAAACGTTACTACATAAAGCCAGTGAGTCAGGTGTAAACCGCAACCACACGAAAAAGCACCTGTACGAGTGCGCCCCATTTTATGAAGTTTGTAAAGCCTTTTAATTTAAGGCATTGTGATTAGATAACACAACTCATGGCTAACGACATTCCTCGTTCATTATTAAATAGTTTTTGGTTCTTTGATCTTGGATTTCACATAGCAGAAATACTACACAGTTTTATAGTATAGTCACTATGGTATTTACTCCTTTTTTAACTGATAAACTGACTTTTAATAAAAGTTTCAAGTTTCTGAAACGCGGAGAGAAAGCGAGCACTACCTTGTTCCACCGGCTGGGTTTTTCAAACTGCCAGATTACTTTGCACGCCAGGTATACCGAGCCTCGCCCATGTACAAGACCGATAAGATAAGATAACCTGTTGTGGGACTAGGTGAATAATTCCGAATAGCCCGTTGTGCGAAATGTTTCTGGTGTCGCTGAAGTTCCTAATCTTTCGTAATGCTCGGGGAGTCCTGTATAGGACTAGAAGATCGCTCCAATTGCAGTGCCTAAGCCAATTGCTAAAGGTGGATTTTTCGACCTACCTTACAACGGATTTTAAAATTTTTCGAATTTTTTCCAAGGGGTCCCCCTTCAAAATTCTGAAATTTCGATTTTCTCCATTTTGCTCCCTTCCGATTAGCACAGCTCCGTCAATTTACATCCGATCGGGAAAATATATACATTTCTGTGATTAGAGCACCGAGTAGCTTAATCCCTTATTCAAGACCTTTCTTTACAACGATTTTAAAATTTTTCGAATTTTTTCCAATGGGTACCCCTTCAAAATTCTGAAATTACGATTTTCTCCATTTTGCTCCCTTCCGATTAGCACAGCTCCGTCAATTTACATCCGATCGGGAATATATATACATTTCTGTGATTAGAGCACCGAGTAGGTTAGTCCCTTATACAAGACCTTTCTTTAAAACGGTTTTAAAATTTTGTGAATTTTTTCCAAGGGGTCCCCCTTCAAAATTCTGAAATTACGATTTTCTCCATTTTGCTCCCTTCCGATTAGCACAGCTCCGTCAATTTACATCCGATCGGGAAAATATATACATTTCTGTGATTAGAGCACCGAGTAGCTTAATCCCTTATTCAAGACCTTTCTTTACAACGATTTTAAAATTTTTCGAATTTTTTCCAAGGGGTCCCCCTTCAAAATTCTGAAATTTCGATTTTCTCCATTTTGCTCCCTTTCGATTAGCACAGCTCCGTCAATTTACATCCGATCGGGAAAATATATACATTTCTGTGATAAGAGCACCGAGTAGGTTAGTCCCTTATACAAGACTTTTCTTTAAAACGGTTTTGAAATTTTTCGAATTTTTTTCAAGGGATACCCTTTCAAAATTTTGAAATTACGATTTTCTCCATTTTGCTCCCTTTCGATTAGCACAGCTCCGTCAATTTACATCCGATCGGGAAAATATAGACATTTTTGTGATAAGAGCACCGAGTAGGTTAATCCCTTATACAAGACTTTTCTTTAAAACGGTTTTGAAATTTTTCGAATTTTTTTCAAGGGATACCCTTTCAAAATTTTGAAATTACGATTTTCTCCATTTTGCTCCCTTTTGATTAGCACAGCTCCATCAATTTACATCCGATCGGGAAAATATATACATTTCTGTGATTAGAGCACCGAGTAGGTTAATCCCTTATACAAGACTTTTCTTTAAAACGGTTTTGAAATTTTTCGAATTTTTTCCAAGGGGTCCCCCTTCAAAATTCTGAAATTACGATTTTCTCCATTTTGCTCCCTTTCGATTAGCACAGCTCCGTCAATTTACATCCGATCGGGAAAATATATACATTTCTGTGATTAGAGCACCGAGTAGCTTAATCCCTTATACAAGTACTTTCTTTAAAACGGTTTTGAAATTTTTCGAATTTTTTCCAAGGGGTCCCCCTTCAAAATTCTGAAATTACGATTTTCTCCATTTTGCTAACTTCCGATTAGCACAGCTCCGTCAATTTACATCCGATCGGGAAAATATATACATTTCTGTGATAAGAGCACCGAGTAGCTTAATCCCTTATACAAGATCTTTCTTTAAAACGGTTTTAAAATTTTTCGGATTTTTTCTAAGGGGTACCCCTTGAAAATCCTGAAAAAATGTGGCAGCACAATTTTTGGCTCCCTCTCGCGGATTTTTGACGAAGCTTTCAATGCGTTGTGCTACACTGGCAATCAGTTTATGTGTTTTCAGCACTAAACACAAAGTCAAAACCAAATTTTATTTATTTTGATTGCCAGGACCATGGGCAAGCACAGAAATGCGGCACAAGATGCCGTTTTCGTTGCGTTCATGGAGCGACATCCAATTATTGCGAAGAATTACTTGAAAGGGGACAAGCAGGCGGCGGAAGAGGCCTGGAAAAGGCTTTCAAAGGAGCTAAACAATGTTGGACCACCGTTGAAGGATACTAGCCAATGGAAACGAGTAAGTGCACCTGAAATGACGACCAAACTGTACCCCATTGGCGTCCCCATAGGTGTGGAAGGACTGGAAGAGCTGCATCACCAAGAAGATCACCAACAACCGTCTGGAGGACTCCAAGGTCAGTGGGAAGTGGTCGTTATACGAGGACACTCTTACGCCGCTGGAGGACGCGGTTGCCGTGATTGGAGACTTATATGACATGGCCGACACCATTGTAGAAGCTCGGCCCAACCCGAGATCTTCAGACATGTCCAACAGCAGCGTTTCGTCATCGTTACGGAACATAAAAATGGACCAGGACGACTGTCCGCTTACGGATAAGGGTATGTCGCCGGATGTATACAAGGATGATAAGAATTCACAATCGTTTTCAGAGGACTGCGAGGAAGAGGAGGAGGAAGACGATGAAGAAGACTGCGGCAATCCAATCAGTGTTCGGAATATGAGACCCGACCGGCGTCTTAACACCAGCACCACTCGGACGACACCAAAGAAGAGAAAGCATTATGACGAAGATGAGCTTCCTCTAGAGCAGCACACCACCGTTCCCGTGCTGATGGACATAGCCAAGGAGTTGAGGGATCTGAGTCGACAAACTCGCCTAAACGCTCAACGGAGCGAAGCTAACACGCAGGCTTTGCTGGCCCTTGGCACTCAGATTTCAGACTTAATGCAACAGCAGCTCAAGGAACGGAAGCGTCTTAACGTTATTATGGAGAAATTTGTTTTAAAAATGGAATCAGCTGAATAGAATGAACTTACAATTTAAATTTTGTTTGCAAATATTAGTTTCTAGTTAGATAAGGTAGCTTAGCGCAATGGCGTTTTGTTCCTTAGAACAGAGATTCCTTAGAATCCACTCCGTTAAAGCTGGTCATTCCAATTGCACGATTTTGGGATTATACATTAAATTAAAATTAAAATATCTTAATGTAGACATAAGCGAAGTAGTTTCAAAAAATCTCGAGACCTTGGTTAAAAAAAATCTGAAAAAATGCCTACTTGCGATATGGGCATAATCCAGAAATGATAAGGACACGAACTCATGCCCACGTGTTCGTGTTCGTCCTCCATCATCATCTCCATCGTCGCTTTTCGTCATATTGCGGTAAATCCATTTAAGTTTTTAACTTGTGTTTTATGTACTTCTGCGCAAATTTGATGCCGACACGCAATAGAAAATCCGACTACCCCCCAAATCGGACATGGCCCACCTTTGACGAGCGGGTCGCCCGGCCGAGTCCTGCCATCATTTTATTGCACTTGAAAACTTAATTAGGCCACAATGCGGTGTGAACGCCTATTGATGTAAGAGAGAATTTTCCGTTTCGCCAGCTGTGCTGGATTTTTATTACATGCATCAAATGTAATTTGTTACAAATTTGATGTGTTTCTATCTCCTTGAAAATGGCATAAATAAAAAAGTTCTTTGTACGCCGGGTATGGGGGCTGGTCAGACTCCAAGTGTGGCTGTTTAGATGATGGTCTGCCAACTGTTTTTCTTTTTTTCGGTGGACCCATCATTTAAATGCGTTGCAGGTTTTATGATCAGGCAACTTTTGATTTCAGCCGAGAAGGTGTAGTACAACTAAACATTTTCTCTACGAAGTTGGAACCAACTTACAGCCTAAAAAGCTCGTAAATTGGCGCTACTTTCGGAAGGACATACATGTACAGGTACGTGTGCCGGGTGTCAGGGGTCAGTGGGTCAGCCTGCTGGGGTGGTGAAAGCAATTACTTTAGTGGTTGGAATATGGCTTCGATTTCCGCTTGAAAACAATTCAGTTTTAAGATAATAAGGCAAAACAGCTTATTTCTGACCAGCCCCCATAACCGTTCCTTTCAGTTGTTTTGGTCCTTCAAGGACCAATGTTTGCTTCGTTAGCGTTAGCGGGCTGGGCATTTGCATCAAAAAACATAAACATTTTGTACTCTGTGATTGGTGTTGATGTTATCCCCAATCTAGCCTGTGCCATTCTGGCGCATATCTAACGAGTAGAGCGCCAAGTGGTCCCCCTGGAGGAGGGCACTCAAATTTATTATTCAAATTCTCGCAGCTGATTCGCCTGCATATATTATTATTATTCGGAATTACAGCAGCAGAATCTTCAGCTTTGTTTTAATTCACTTAAAACTACATAAATTTTACTTTACATGCAAGGCGACAACTCACGTGCCCCTGAGTGGGGTCGGCGGCGTGTACGCGTTATTTCCAATAGTGGGTCTTGTGAGTCGTCGCCTTGTCCGGACGCGGTTTAGCTTCTCATTAAAAGCGACGAAAATGTCGCGGGAGAGACTTTAGTCAAGCTTTCTTAATTCAATTCAATCAAAAGCACAGTCTGTAATCTGGCGAATCGTTAGTCGATCGCTTCACCGCACCAGCTACGGTTCACTACGATCCGTGATCTTAAAATAGCCCGCCCTAAACCTATTTTTAGTGGGATAGTTAGCTGAGAAACATGGTCACCGAAGGCAGTTACAGTCACAGATTCGGGGTGGCACTGATGTCCTTCTTGGCTGTGTTCCCTTTAGTTAGTTCCAAGTTGCGTAAGTTTCGAAACGGTTCCAAGGACTGTAGAACCTGCGGAATCCACAATATAAAAAGCTGTATGGCATATTAATGAACTGTGTCTCACATCATAGTCTGAAAAGAAAACATGGCAGATTTTCAGTGAAAATTTTACAACTATTTGCCCACAGCGTCCTCAATTAGACCCTGTTCCCGCGATGATCCCCACTTGGAGCGCTGCATCATCGACGCTGTCTACAAAATCAGGCCACTGCTGGTCCACGGAGATCTGGGAGATGGCTACAAAACACCGCCCCTGGAGCCGTTGGCTCTCGACGACATCGAACTGGGCAGGAGCAGCCAGTTCCAAGCCGTATTCCAGAATCTCGAAGCCCTGGGCGGCAGTAACTTCATTATCGACCGCCTAATGTACATACGTCTTAATTAAGCCAAAGATGAAGTTAATGAACTATAAATTCCTTGCATGAAGTGCCAAGCCGATGGACATTGCGTATGATCTTTGGATTACCCTTCCGCGTATTGACTTCAGGGGCACATACTCGCTGAACCTCAACCTGCTGCTCTTGGATATCAAAGGAAGGGGGAACATGCAGGGCTACTGCGGTAAGTTCTTCAGGTCAGTCTGGAGCCCATTCCTAACCACGTACTCCTTACCATTTAGAGAACGCGAAGGCCTCGGTGAAGATGCGCGGCACTCGGTACCAGCGAAACGGACAGGACTTTGCGAAGTTCACCAAGATGACCATGCGGATTCAGTTTAAGGACTTTAAACTTAACCTCGAGAACCTCTTCAACGGTGACCGGATTCTGGGCGACGTGGGCAACCGTCTCATCAACAACAACCAGGACCTGTATCTGAACGAGATAGTACCGGGCCTGGAGCGCGGTCTCTCCAAGAAGTTCTTGGACGTGGCGAATGAAATCCTGGCTACGGCCACCTTCGATGAAATGTTCCCGCCGGGGAAAACTATAATCAACCCCATATCGTTTCCCTCGCCGTCCCCTCCGTCTGACCTGGGTCCATCCATATTCGAGACTCCTTTCGCATCCAGAAATCCGGAAGGAAGTATCTTAGCTCAACTGCCACCTAGAAACTACCACAAAACCTAGATTACGGATTAAATGTTGTTTAAAATCTAAAGTTACGAGTTTCTTCTAAGGTAGAGGGGGTGAGTTGGAAACCCAGTTTTCAATGATTCGGTTATTATGTTAAACTCGGGCCATCAAACGGGGACAGCTCTGTCCAAGTCCGGGTACAGTCCCTTCACCACACGCAAATTATCCTTGGAGCGCTTAATGCCTTACTCCATTTCGCTGTCGTGGCTTTGGAGAGCCGGGAAACTTTTTAATCCTCAACCAAGCCTGCTTTCGCATATTAGGCCCAAAGTTTTAGAATGCGTAGTCACCGCCTAACGGCACCGGGGGGACAGTTTAAAGGGCACACACACACAAAGGCCCACGCACACACACACCACCTCGCGGCATTACACCTGTTCAATGGGTCAGGGCACGCAGTGCGGCAGTGCCTCCTTTCCTGGCAGCCTCCTCTCCGGCTTGTGATTAATCACCGGGAGCGACAAAGATGAATTTACAGAGATTTTTTGTCCGTAAAAGTTTTTACTTTCATTGGGCCAGGGACTGGGACTCGGACTCGGACTCGAGCTGGGCAGTTAATTGCGTTGCATGGACTTGGACCGAGGCTGGGGGGGAGGCCGAGAAAAAAGTGTTGCCTCCCCGGTGAAAGTCGGCGCCTCTAATTAAATTCATGCGACGCAGCTGTCACTGGCAAGGAAAAAGCATTATCGACTTTTAGGCGCTTAATATTTCAAATGAAAATGTTTTTGATGTAAACAGAGCGAAGTCAAAGGAAAACCTTGGCAACATCTTCAACTTCCGCACTGGCCAGTGCCTCGCAAAGTGTCGCCGGCATTAATTTCATTTATTAATTTTTAACTACGCCCGCGCACCAAAATAAAAGGAGCTTGATAAATGGAAAGCTGGAAGAAGCTGGAGCTGGGAACCGAGGAGCATGGCGATGGTGGTGGTGGGTGCACTGGGGCGCTGGCACTGGGAGGTGGCTCCAAATCTTTTTATTTTCTTTCATTGTACGCGTCCCCATTTTTGGTGCTTCCTTTCTTTTTCCAGCGCTTTTCTTCTCCGACCTTTTTTGTTAATTTTTTTTAATTCTTTGCTTTTCACTTGAAAGGCGCTCGAAACGTGGAGATGCGTCGAGGCTCGCTAATGTCCTTTCTTTTATCATTAAGTAGAAAACGTGGGTGTCCTTTTTGGGGTTGGCTCGGGGCTCGAGGGTGGTCCGTGTTGGGCGTGGCAAGTCCGTGTCATGCGGTGGCAGGGGCGACGACGGGGATACGCAGGTATTTTAGCGGCCATTAGAGAAAGCCTCGTTCTGTCGGCTTAAAGTTCTAAAGTAGCCCTGTTTTTCACTTTGAAAATGGCGGTGGGCCTGAGAGCTGAGAGCCCGTCAAGCAAATAGAATCTTAATAATTGATAAACAATTTATATTAATAGCTAACTTGTATATGACATCTGTAAGAGGCTTCCCGACGACCACTAGCGAGTCCAGCTCTCATAATTAGTTACTTAAAATCTATATCTGACTAACAGTCGTCTCGTGCCGGGCGATTTTCTCGCAGTCACAGGTGCAGGAGAACTTGATGTCGGGGTACAGGTCAACAATGGTCGGCGTGGCGTTCCGCTCTTCGAAGGACGCGTACTCCCGGTGGTGGTGGACAAAGTTCAGGCTGAGCTTGTCATTGAACCTGCGGTGCTGCTTCTCGCCAAAGACCTTGTACCTCTGGAAGAGCTCCCGCATTATTTCATTCGGGTACTTCAGATAGTTCCGCGGAATTGGATAGGGGGTGACGCCATCGTTGACTCGGATGGTACGCTCGTCCTGCATCACCGAGGTCTTGACATTATCGTTCTCCCACATCCCCTTCTGGATCTGGCCAGTGTGCATGTGGTAGAAAACGCCCTCACCGTTCTTGTAGCCACGTGCGAAGTGACCCTCGTACCGATTGCCATTAGCTAGATGTCGGAAGATTCGGTTAATAAGTATACCGCCCATATAGCTGCTCTGAACTACAAACCATAGAACATGACACCTAGGCCGTGTCGGAAGTCAGTCTCCCACTCGCCCACATAAATGCTGCCGTCCTTGTACCACTGTATCCCGAGTCCGTGGCGCCTGTTTCTCAGCCACTTTCCGAAGTACACGCACCCGTCCGGGTAGAACTGCTTCCCCTCGCCGCACTTCATATCGTCGTACCACTGCCCTGCGTATATCAGCTGGACGTTGGTGCCGCGCTTGCGCAGCATGGATCCGACTCCCTGCCGCTTGTTCTGCACCCAGTGGCCCTCATAGACGAGCTGGCCGTCCGGCACCTTCTTGCCGGCAAAGTCGGCCGTGGTGCGCTTCGCGGTCTTCTTAACGCCCCAGCCATGCGGCTTGTTGCACAGCCAGTACCCGGAGTAGGTGCCTCCGCCTGGATAGTAGAAGGTGGCCCGTCTCCCTGTGCTGCAGACGGGCTTATTCGGGCAAAAGTAACGCTCCAAACAGGTTGCCATGCTCTCAACAAAAATTTAACTTGAACCTTTCTGGGCTGCTCTATTGTGTGTTGTGGTCTGGCGTGACAATTGCAAAATTGATTATTTGGGGCCTACTTTGTGGAGAGGGCAGTTTTGGGGCGGAATGTTTTTCGATAATCTGATCCTTTGATAAGAGGACCTTTTCCGAACACGACCCACCTATACAAATGCAAATAATGGGCTTACCCCAACCTATTAATGGGGCAGGAACTGGGAAAAATGTCATTGACACACTTGAAAGTTTTGGGGTTAGCCATTGTGTGAGAATCAAGGATAAATATAAGTCATCATAAGTGAGGTGGAGGTTAACCGCTCTTCCCGTTAAGAGTGGACACTGATTGGGTCACCTTTATGCCATGTGTTTGTCATTTGAATTATGCGAAAAGTGCGAAATCCCACCGGAAAGTGGATGTAGCTGTTGTAAACAGAATAAGAAACCTCGTTTATTTTGCCAAGTGCTTCCTTCACATGGGTAATCCCCACATCCCACAGCTCCTTTTCCTGAAGCCTTTCAGTTCAACGATTGTACAACTTGACCGCTTAACTATGGACTTTGATTTGTACAGCCTAGGCTGGAATCCGAGTCTGGGTGTCCTTGCAACCACCCCATCGAACACTGCCCAGGCTCTCCCAGGAATTCCGGGTAAGCTGTTTTGCATAAAGTGCAGCTGCAAAAAATGAGGGGTGTGGATGTACCCCTGGATTTTTTCGACTTCCTGTTTGTCTCCAGCTTGCATCCCTTTGGTTATGTAAATTTCGACTCCGCCGTTTTAATTTCACGGCACAATGTTGCGATTTCGTTTGGGTAGTACTGGTGGTAATTAATCGTGGCCATTAAATAGAAGACTATTAATATTCCAGGAACAAGCCTCCTCCGCTGCTGGCCAACATTGGTGGGTCAACCAATCAGGTTGCTAATTTTTGCAGTTGGTGTGTTGGTGAAGCGGATATCTGCCTGCGGGTGAAGCAATTGCAAGTGACAGGAGCTTTAATTTTTCTTCCTTTTCGATGGCTTACATTTGGAAAGCTGACCGGGAGGGAACTGGGTTGCCATGTTTATGATAAACTTAATTCAGTGTAAATGAACGGGGCCAATGGCTGCTGGGGGGCACAAAGTTTGGGGGATACTCCTTGTGCTAACCACATCTAGGGAGAATTTTCTCGTTTTATTTTCACATCTCTCCTCATCCATCCTCTTGTTTTGATAAACTTCAAATAAACAAATCAACGAGGGAAAGAAAAACATACAACTCAGAATGGTGAAAACTTTTTTTCGTTTTCGGTTGAATGAAATGGAAAATTTTAATTGCTCTGCCCAAAGTGTGTACTCAGAAATACTCAGAAGACGCAGTATCTTCACCAATTTTGAGCTTCTTTATTTAAGATTCTCTGGTTTTTTTTTTTAAATCGGGCTAATATATCAAATAATATATACACCCCTAACTTTGAACTCGGCTTGAAACTTCGCTGTCAATCTAAATAAAAAAGCCCCAACCCTTACAAGGAATAATTGTAAAGCGCACACATGCGAAAATGAGGACAAAATGCGACACGCACAGGAAGGACGAAAATTGCAGATTTTTCTCATTAAGCTCATGTCAGATTAGCAGGAGACGGGACGAGGGGGTAGACGTTTCGGTGGAGCTCGGTTAAAGCCAGAAAGCAGTACACCCGGGTGCCATAAATTACTTGCCCCCGAGACAACCCTTGAAAAGCAGCGCGAAACTTTCTCTTGGAAGACGGTGCGCGGCAACGACGTTACCCACAACAGCATTTGTTAAAAATTAAGTGATGGGGGTGCTCAATATGGCCAGGACGTGGGTTGAGGCGTCTGGGTGGTGAGGTGGTGAGGTGGCGGGGTGCTGATTACAACAACAACACACAATGCCGCCCTGCCACGGATTCTTAGCGAAACAACAGCAATTGTATCGAACTGGTGCTTCGTGTTAGTCGTCCTTTGGGTACCCTTACAGGACTCCACTACAAGATGGATTTCAGCAAGCAGAGTCAGCTGTGGCCAAGATGATCTCAGTTCGCGTAAGGTCCTTGTGAGAGAATGCTTTCTGTAATGAAAAAATTTGCATATTTTACCGTGTCGCGACGTCTGCTTTCCGATGGGGTTGTTTCCCGGGCAGGCATCATTCGAAGCATAAGCGAAGCTTGCAAATGTATGTGTATCTGTAGGATGCATGGCGATGAAAGTCCCGGGGGTGAGGGCCTTAAAAAGGAACACAGTAATGAGTGGTGCTTCGCAGCTCTTTCCAATGGCCGAAGGTATCTCCACCTCCGCCCTTTGTTTCAGTTTAACCCTTTGTGGACTGGAGAACCCTGCCCACTGGGCAGCCGGCCGGCAGCCAATGAGGGTTGAGATCCTGGTTAACCCTTTCGCTGGAAACAGGGGTGGGTGAGGGTGCGGCAAGACCCTCCCACCCCCGCCCACCAACACTGGTCATTGTCGATTTTGGGCAAAGTTCGAGGCCCAGAGTTTTCCCGCTGGCTTCGCCGCCGAAAAACTTTGATTTCATTTGATTTGCATGCGCCAAAGTTTCTTCAACTGGAAAGGAAAACAGAAAACGAGGGCCAACCAAACTCCGTGCTCGAAACAAATTAACAGTCCAGTGATTATTGTCAAAAGCAAAGGAAGAGGAAGCCAGGACAAGTGCCTATCGGGCACTTGGTCCTCCAGCTCCCATACCCTCCTGCCCTGTCCTGTCCTGGCCACCAATTCAAAAATTAGAAAAGGGCATAATTTTAATGAACTTTCTTGTCGAGTTCTAGCCGCCACCCATATAAACATCGCCTGGTAGCCAGAGCAGCTGTCGGAAAAGGACTTACAAGTTTTCATTCTGCTTTGCCCACTTGTCTTGGCTTTTGAGTTGTTCGTGAGCCTCTTTGATGGGAGTTTGTTTTTCAAAAGGAATTTTTTGCAAGCCAGAAACGAAAAAGTTGGTATGCCTCGATCTTGCTGGGCCTGGGGGAGGGGTAAGGAGCGCGTCCTGAACAGGACTCCCGACTGCTGGCATTAATCACTTCCACTCAGGGTATGCCGATCGCAATTACATATCTGTAGGTGCGTGCGGCAACCTCTGCTCGTGCAACTGTAAACTGTAATCCGTAATGGGACTCAAATTGCAGCGGCTGCACGCCAAGAGGAGGCGGAACACCTGCTTGCGTCCTCGCAATTACTTGCCCCGAGTGTCGATTTGATGCCTTCGACCTATGACATTTGTCATGCAAAAAAAACTAGAGCTGATGGGGCGACAGATAGTCGCAATCCAGCTGCCAGGAGATCTTGCAACTGGGTCAGTTGATTCCATGGTATGGTGGCCATTTAAGTCCAAGCTAACGCGGCGACTCTGACATCCATCGGAACTGAACACTTCCTTGACGTACCTTGGGAGCAAAGTAGTTTAGGAATTCATTAGATCTTCTTTTGGGTCTGCAGAAGGGATCAAGCTATTAAAGAATAGACGGATTTCAATTGTCTGATGGAAGACAAACCCAAAATGATTGATTAGAGGCCGGGGTGGACACTCACTCAGGTACCATTGAGGACCTTATCCAATACGCTGCTAAGCCCAATCTTGCCTAATATTTTACGCTCATTTAGGGCATTATAGAGAAAGAGGACCTGGCGGATTTGTGCAACACACCCTCCCTCCGACAATGGCCTTAACTCTTGAGCGGACCCGAAGGAATTGCAACATCGGTTCAAAGGATCACAATGGAGCGGATGGGAAAACTAAAACCAACGCCCGCTTGACATTTGGCTGCTAAACAAACAAATACTGCAAAAAAAAGAAAATAATAAAAAAACGGGAGAGTTGCTGGAAAAAAAAATAAGGGATACTGTTGGCCTGGCTACTGCCGAGCGATGCGGGGGTGCCGGGCTGCCGGAGATAGGGCGCAGGTCAATCATGAAGAGGTCTCGTACGGGGACGGTGTTGCACGGCAGTTGCACTCTGGTGTTGCCTTTCCGAAGAGAGAGAATAGGAATATGATTCCCCGCCCCAGCCGAGGAATTGAAACTGAAATTGAAATTGTGTCATTTCATGCCAGCAGAAGGAGCTGGAGGAGGCCATACCTCATATACACCTGGTCTTCAAGCAGTTTTATGTCCTTTGTGTAGCCCTGCTTCCTTCTAACTGTCATTTTTAATTGTTTGCGTTTAACGGTTATCAGCTTGCCACCACCGAACCACCGAGCCATCAAGCCAGGGATCCAGGGAGCGGGAGCATTTATCGGAATCGGAATTTTTGTGTTTTTCTTAGGGCTTTTTATGGCCGAAACTCTTGACGTGGCCAGTTGCCCAATAAGCTTACTTTTAAGTGCCATTCAGCCCCGTTCGACCTTCTCCGGCCCCCACCCAGCTCCTGCCACTCCGCCAGCCTCCAGCCTCCAGCCGGCAGTCCTTTCCCGCGCCTTTCTCTATCTGGGCGCTTTGCACTTGAAAAATTTGCGCATGCACAGCAATTTCTCGTCTCGCCTTTCACTTGTTTCTCATTTTCGTTTTCATTTTCATTTTCCTGGCCTTCCCCGTATTCCAATCTTAATTTTTTGTTGATGCTTCTTTGGGGTTGAAAATAATTCATTTATGCAAATGAGGGGGGTGTTTAAAATTAAGCAAAGAGCACGTAGGCCAGAAGTGGCGGTGCCGCCAACATCCACGGCGGCCGTAATGAAGGAGGTGACTGGATGGGTATCAGTGGAAGGAAGGCAAGCAAGGGCAGTAAGGGCATTGGAAAATGATAAAAACAAAGGTTTCTCGTCCTTCCCAACTTACCCACCCACCCCTCCAGCTTCTTATATTTTTGTTCGGGGATATAAGTTACAATTTGTAAGCTTTTAATGGCGGCTTTGGACAGGGGTGGGGGGCTTTTGGACTTCCTTCCACTCGGAGCTGGGAAAGTAGATGACTCATGGTGTTCTTCACGAGCTGGAATTGGTCATATTTCTTACGTTCTCCCCAGTCATTCATTACATTTTGCCTAATTAGTAGTCTAAAACCATGCCGAGCTCCCATTCCATGCCAGTGG